CATTGGTCACAGCTCCTGGCTTGCTGGGCACACAGCTCTTCCCAGCAACTGTGACTCTGTAGCCATCCCTCAGCAAAAGCTTCAGGAGTGACTCTGGGTTGTGCCAGAGATGCTGAACCCCTGGGAATAGCCAGGTCACCTCCAAGAGGCTGCGCCTGTCACAGGCAGCAAAACTCCTTTCCAGTGGCAGCAGCACCTGCAAATTCCCTCCATCAGGGCAAAGCTGAAGTCATTGCAAATGTCCCACAGGAGGTCATGGCCACCTGCACCTAGGGCTGCCCCTCTGCCCTGCCCCAGCCCAGGGGCAGTCCTGACAGTGTCCTGCTGCCCTGCAGGTCAGGGGCCGAGGACAGAGAACAGCAGCCAGTGCAGCTGTGGCATAGACAAGAAGCAGACCTGGAGCAGGTGGCCCCGCTGCCACCCAGCTCCAGCTTTGCCTGCTGGACACACATCAGCCCCAAGCAAAGCAGACAGCAAACACTTGCTCAAAATGCAGCATTAATTCCACTGTTCCAAGAAGCACAGCCACACCTTTCTGGGCCTCCTGGCTGCTCTGCACAGACCCTGACCCGCTATCACAGCTCTGGCCTGGCACCAGCCCTCTGCCCCCGGTCCCAGCCAGCAGCCCCCTTGTCTCAGAGCTTGAATAATTGATGGTGGTGTGTGCATGCGGCGTCTCGAGTAGGAGGAGGTCTGGGCATGAATCTTTCATGCGTTTGCACCTCCTGGAGCTGCCAGGGATGGGCGGCGGGAGGTGGGGATGTGCTAGGAGCCTGGGTAGGTGGGCACCTTCCGTAGCTCTATCCCCAGGAAAAATAAATACAGCAGCAGAATGTCCCTTGCCACCGGGCAGGGCAGCGCCACAGCATCTTTCTGACCCTGTGTAGGAGCAGTGCTGTGCTGTCCCCCCTCTCCCAAGGGCTGGGACAGCCCAGTGCCCTCTCCAGCTTCGCCTCTCTTGCTGCCACAAGAAGGATGCACACGGTGCTCACTGCAGGCAGTGAACACAGGGATGCAAAACAGTGATGTGACCTTGGCTCTGGGCGCCTGAACATGGAGCAGGATGGCATGAGGCATTACATCCCTGCCCTGCCAGCCTCCGGCATAGCCCCTAGCTGGGAGTGAGGGGCTGCCTGCTGTGGGGGAAAGCAGGCAAGAGTGCAGGCAGCAGGGTGGAAGCCCCTTCCCAGTGCTACCATGCCAGGGCACAAGCCAGCAACCTGGTGTCAGGAGGCAGGAAGGGCAATGGGTGTGATGGGCAGCCCTGGAAGAAGGAAGAGGCTGTCCTCCCCTCATGCAGTCCTGAATATTGGTGCTATATTTACCAAACTGCAGGCCTGGGTTTCGGCCTCTTGCCTGTAACACAAGCCCTGCAGCCTGCCAGAATCCGAGGGGATGGCACATTCCTCAGCAAAAATAACCCTCCAGCAGCAGGCGAGAGGGCAGGGGTGGAGGTGACTGACTGGACAGCTGCACTCACCACCCCGCTCGCTGGGAGCAGACGTCTCACTCCGACAGACCCTGGGATGGGAACCTGGCACACGTGGCCACCACACCAGCCCCCTGCCCAGGTGGATGGGGGCAGAGGTGGGAGCTGCTCTGGGGCAGCTGGCATTAAACATGGACACGGTGCTGCAGATTATGAGACTAAAATTAGGCACTGAGATAAATGGCCAGGGATGCTGAGCCACCAGGGACGCTGTCAGCAGAGCCATCCCCAGTGGGCTCCACTGCCATTGCCATGCACCATCAGCTGAAAATTTACATCAGCATTGCCCCACTGTAACTCCTCACACATGAAGGGGTCATGCAGGGCCACCACACACAGGAAGATTCTGCTCCCTTTCCTGCCCCCAAATGCAGGCAGGTGCAGGCTGTTTCCTGGGCAGAGGAATGGCTCCAAGACGGTTTGATTGCTGAGTGCAGGTGGAGGCGAATGGAGCAAAGATGGACACATCCAACCTTGAAATGAGAGGCAGCCTGGGTGGGGAGGATCAGGCAGTTCTGGCACAGTGAACAAGGGCTAGGCTCTAAAAGGAGATTAGCTCGGGTTCTTAAGAGGTGATTTAATCCAGTTTACAGGGAAAAAATTCAGGAGATGCAGCAGAGAGGTGATAAAGGCTTTAGCAAGTCCAAGAGCAATGGAGCTATGGTAGGGGCCAGGGCTGGCTGGAAGGATCTGAAGGTTCCCTGAGTGGACCTGGGAAGCCCCTGGACCAGCCTGGTGTTGCTGTGAGAAGGGTCAATGCACTCCACCTGCACCCACAGAGCTGGGGCATTAGGGAGAGCCTGCAGCAGGAGAGGGGGCAGTGCAGTGGGGCATGGTTGGGATAGGGTGGGACAGTGGCGATGGTGTGCCCCTGGCAGCCCTGGCACTTGGCTGCCAGGCCAGCCCCACACATGCTCTCCCCGCTCCCTACAGTGAGCGCTGACGTGCTCAGGGAACCTGGGAGAAGAGCAGGAGAAAATCATTAGTGGGGTGGAGCGACAGATTCAGGGCAAGAGATTAGAGGAGCTAAATCGGGCTTTTGTGAGCAAGGGGGACTGCTGAGCTGGTACAGGAGGAGCTTCCCAGGCTGAGTACAGAGACGAGCAGCACGGAGCCCCCCCAGGCCACCAGCAGGGACCTGAGCCACCTTGGGGAGAGCCAGTGCTGTCCCCACAGAGATCTTCAGCCTGGCAGTGCACCAGGGAGAAAAGGGGCTCTGTGCCCACCAGAGACCACTACCTGTCAGTGGCAGATGGAGCAAGGACACAACAACACCTCCAGACACAGAGGACTGGGATCCTAAGCCCAGAGAAAGAGCTGATCTTACGAGTGGAGCAAGAGCATTCCAATACCTCCAGACACAGGGGCCTGGGATCCTAAGTCCAGAGAGAGCCTTTATCCTGCCTGGGGACCCTGCACATATCCCTCTTGCCCTATAAGTGGCTGATGACCTGGCTCACAGAGTGCCCCAGGGAACAAGGATGGGATGTCCCTTCCCAGTACAAGGATGGCAGAGCTAAGAGTGGAACTTCTGTGATCCTGTACTGGAGACCTGTCCAGCACCTGGCAGGATGTGGCACTCTCTTGGCACTGCCACAGAACACCACAAAGACATTTCTGTGTTGCCACAATGACAAAGCCACACCATGGGCTGCCCTGCTTCTTGCTCAACCCAGCGCCCCAAAGCCTGCACAGCTCCAGAGGTGTCTCTGGCCCAGGGATACCTTTTCGGGTGGCTGTTTGCTCAATGGTGGTGCATCCATGGCCAAGAGCCTGCTGGGAGGAGTGCCCAAGGCAGGGTGACATTCACAATGCACATTTGGCAATCCTGGCTGCTCCGTCCCTCCCTCAGCTGCCCCAGAAAGGCGGTGGTGAGGTGGAGGCTGGGAATTGGGAGCAGGGAAGAGTGCGTCAGCACAACGGGAACGGGCACCTGGGGAAATCAGACTGTGCTGTGCAGCACTGGGGCCCAGACTGGTGTGGCCATGGAGAGGTGCAGCTGCATGCATGAAGACAGGGTGACCCCCCTGCTGTCCACCCAGGACAGGCTGGCCCTCCTCCAGGGCAGTGCATGTCTCCATTCTGCACACACCTCACATCCAGCTCCACCATGCCACGGTCCCCAATGGCATGCTGCACAGCGACTCCACATAGACTCACTGCAGGGCAGAACCCCTGCTGCACACTTCTCTGCTCCTCCTGCTACCCCACCAGGCTCCTGACCTACACATAAACCTTCCTCCATCCTCCAAACACCACTTCTCCAGACTCCTGGCTCAGTACTCCCCTCCAGCATTGTGAAGGCTCCTTCTGACCTGCCAGTCATCCAGTCCCCTGCTCAAGGTACAGCATCTCTGCAGAGTTCCAGGTGCAGCTCCTTCCCTGGAGCCTCAGGGCTCAGTGTTGCTTCCCTCACTCCTCATCCTCGCTGTCCCCATGTAGACAGCATGTCTCACATCTCAGAGCAGTGCAGTCTGCCTCCACACTCCCCAATACTCAGGCCTTCAATGTCCTAGGGAGGTGGCATCCGTCCTCCCTGAGGAGGAATTTGTTACCAAAAGGGCCGTCAAGTACTGGAACAGGATGGCCAGAGAAGTGGTGGACACACTATCCTTGGAGGTACTCACAAAACACGTAAATGTGGCACTTAGGGACATGGTTTAACCAGGACTTGCCAGTGCTGGGTTAAGGGCTGGATTGATGATCTTAGAGGCCTTTTCCAACATAAATAATTCTATGACTCTATGACTGCATGATTCCGTGATGATGGGGCAGAGGGGGCTGAGCCCCGTACCCACAGGACGAAGCCCATGGGGCTGGGAGTGCAGCCCCCATGCACTCCCCCTCTGACTGCTGCACCCGGGGTGATGGTGATGAGCAGAGGGGCTGCCACAGGGATAAGCAAATGTTTGTCAATTTGCCTTGACTAACTAACTACCAGGTCTCGCCCACCGCAGGGCACAAGCTCCACCTCCTCGTCAGCCCCACCTCTCACATGTTAGGCTTCTCCTCCTAGCCCCATTGGCGTTCCAGTTCAGCCAGTGCATTTCCAATGCCTGGTAGAGCAATTATGGTGATCGTGCGGGAGTTCTGCCCGTGGGCAGCTGCTGGGGGGTACTGAGGACCGTGTTGGTTGCTGTGGTGGTACCAGTACCATGTGCTCAATCCCAATCTCTCTCTCTCTCTCTTTCTCTCTCTTCTCTGTCTCTCCTCCTGCCCCGAGCAGGTTTGGCATCACATGCTCCCAACACCTCTGTGCCCAGTCCTGGCACCCAGCCTGGCCTGGCAGCGGGTACTGCAGCCACATGCTCGCTGCAGGCTGGAGAGCCATCCCAGGGCTGCCGGCACCGGGCACGCCAGCCTGCAGCAGGGTGGGCACAGCAAAGCTCAGCAGCCCCGTCTGGCCCCAGGGCACTGCAGCAAGAGCCTGCAAAGCACTGCTGCCACCCTCGGCAAACACTTGCCGAGGTCTGTGCCAGCACGACCGTGCTGGTGGCCACGTCACCCTTACCTTCCATGTCAATGATGGCCAGCACAGCACTGGTCATGGCCTCTCCCTGCTCATTCTCAGCGACGCATGTGTACACACCGGCATCCTCCTTCTTGCTGTCCCGGATCCAGAGGGTGCCATACTCCTCGCCACCCTGGGCCAGCTGCTCCTCGTTTCGGTACCAGCGGAGGCTGGGCCGGGGGCTGCCCGCCACCACCACTCGCAGCCGGATGTCACAGCCGGTGCCGATCGCTGCATTCTTCAGTTTCCTCACAAAACACGGTGCTGCCAGGCGAGCTGAGCCCTCCTGGGGCGGCCCCGGTTCTGCCGTGACCTTGGCGCGCTTCGGGGGGATGCCAGGGCTCGGCGGGGCTGCCCGAGGCTCGCCACCGGCCCTACTCGTGCCGCTGCGTCCCTGTGCTCGGTGCATAGCCTGCAGCTCCCCCACCACCACCCGCCACCCGTGTCACCCCAAACCAGCACGTCGTGCCCTTCTTCTCCCCCTGCCTGCGGTCTCGGGGTGCCGGGCGCCTGCCTGACTGGGGCGCTGGGGCAGTGGCGACCCCCCAGTCCGAATGCCCTCCGGTTCGGTGCCTACCCCCCACAGGCTGCAGCCCCAAAGGTCGCAGCCTGTGGGCAAGCAAGGGACTATATTTAGGCTGGGACTCGGGTTCCTGCTAGCCCAGCCGCCACTCACCAAGCGCCCGGTGCAGTGTGGCACTCACTCTGCTGCAGCCCCAAGCCCGCCCAGCGCCTCGGCA